CAACAACAACAACATCAACAACAACATCAACAACAACAACAACAACAACAACAACAGCCGTTTCATCCTCTCTGAACTCAAACTTTGATCACATACGATCTCCCTCCAGGCCTCCAGAATGTTCTGTAGTGCCGTAACGGTCAGAAGATGAGGGTTAGGACTCTCAAATAGCATCAGCCGAAGTGTTGAATCCCAGTCCAAAAATGCGCTATTCCTGCAAGTGCACGAAATACAAGAAAAATGTCTCTAGTGGGGTTTGAACCAGGGACCGACGTCCTGCTCTTAGTCCAGCTCGACTTCAGAGCATTCCAGTAGCTGTATTAAAAGCTCAGGACACCGAACTGAGAGGGGCTATGAAAAGCGGGCCGAAGGCCCGCGATAAAACTCTCAAAACCCTTCCCTACCAGCTTTTCCAGCGTTCGGACCTTTTTTTCCCAGTGTTCGGACCGCTAAGCACACGAAACGGTTACAGATAATTGAATCGAACAAGGTGTTCGTAAACCAGATTCTTTTCGAGTGGAAACTAAGTTATACACGTTTGACATGGTAGACTGTACGAGCCGTAGGTGAAACATCTATCAACTCTATCCAGTCAACAGAGAAAAACTATTTGACCAAGATTTGAATTTCACAGAAAACAGACTTAGAACTACATATTCCAGACTAATTTTTCAGCACTCTACAAGCGCTCAAAGGTTCGGGCATCGATCGGACATACGACTAATGAACGCTTTCACTTGCGTATAATTCTGTATTGACTCACGGAAAATAATCGATTCTAATTTTCCCATGTGAGTATCATCGAGTTTAAGACCTTGCAAGTCCACGAGAGTAGCATGAGCAGGTCTCCATTGTCGGCAGAGAACTCTCCAGAAGAAGCAGTTTTCGATATATCCATATCACTAAGGTTGATGAGCGTTCCACTTGTGACTCGTAGAATCTACCATGTCAAACGTGTATAATTCTGTTACCACAAAAATATCACTAACGTACACTAGCTCATATAAGGGTCGATTTCTGATGCTCCCAAGGCATCCCATCAGTTTGCCATAGCATGTCCGGCGTTGACAACGACACCTCAGCCTATGAGAGTTTAGTGTCGATAAATTCAATTCTGTTCTCAACTGCATTGCTCCTGACGTTCGTATGGGGGTAATGATCCTCCTTGTCGGTGGCATGTAGCCCTAGGCCCTCAGGTATTTTATAAATACGGGGAAGTCTCGACATATATCGCAGTCGACTGGAGCTGTTATTATTGGGTTTATCATGGGAGTCGTAGGTCCCTGGTTCAATCCCCGGTCAGGGTATGCCCTTATAATCAGGTGATCAGGCTCCTAGGAGCAGGAGACCGTAAGGAGATATTAGGGATAAGTGCGGAACTGTTCTATTTTGTAAAACGCTAGATTCACTCGGGGTGGTCAGCCTGGTAGCTCCATAGGCACTGTTACCGCCGATTATATTCGAGGCCAGTTTCTCGCTCAACACGGATATGTTCATGAGCAATCTCACATCAATATTAGTCTTCGCGTTCATCGGTACCATAAATCGGTCAATTCATCATCCAAGTCGAGTACCTCTATAGGCACAACCATATCGGCCTATGTTACGTCCATAGGGTTGTGGACGTTCTCTACTACCTGGCTTGTCGGCCTTAAGAATACAGATGCCCTGCGGGGTTACTGTATGACATTTGGGGCTCTCATCTCCAGTGAGTAGCATCCTGCCCTCCTCAGCAACAGCCTGTCGAAGGTACCGATCCAGTAGCAGTGATGGCGCTCATGAGGGGGTCCAAATACCGACCCAATAAGACATTGCATTCTCTGGTCTTCGGTGAGAGCGTCTTAAACGATGCAGTGGCAATCGTCTTGTTTGCATCCTATCAACGTGAGTGCTCTCCATACTCCTTATGCTGGTATT